AGTGAAGATCGGGCGGGGAAGATCGGAAGAAGACATTGGCCGGCCGGAGAAAATGGTGGTCCGGCACAACAACAACAACGACGACGACGATCAGTGGAAGCAGAGACAGAGACAGAAAGGTGTTTTGAATAATCTCATCACGACTCGCTCCCATACGAATGCTTTGTGGCTCTGCTTCTCTGTCGTCTCCCATACACCCAAAAACAACACCCTTCGTCTCTCCACTTTTTGTGGAGTTTCATACAAATGGGAATTACACCTGCCATGCAAACCTAAATTAAATTAACTCATTCTCTATTTCTACTATGCTTCTCTTCCTCCAACTTAAATTCTTGGGTGTGCTATTCCCAATAAATTAAATCAACTTTCAGTTCGGTTTTATGTGTCAGACTACTATTTCAGTAATGTGTCTAATCCAAATATGTTAAAAAGAATAAGTCTTTTTTTTTATTATTTTTAAAAAAATTATGCTTCTTTTCTTACTATTTCTTTGGTAACACTAACATATATGAATTGTTGTCCAAATTTTTTGGTTTACTTTTTAAAGCTTGGCTTGAATTTTAAAAACACTTTAAAACAAATTATATAACGAGGCAAAAAAACATACGAGTGGAAATAGTGTTTCTAAGCTTAATTTTTTTTTAAGAAAATTAGCATCATGAAAATTATACCTCAAATGTTTGAATTCTATTTTGATTTACCAACTCAGATTATAATTGTCCAAGGATAGTAGGTTCGAATCCAATATGTAATATTCCTTAATTTAAAAAAAAGGGTTTCATTTTGATTTAATTAACCATTTTCTTGCTTAATTTATTTTGTTTTTTTTTAACTATTTTTTTGGGTTCTGTCTGTTAAACCTTTGTTTAAAAATCTCATGTAATCCTTTTCAGTACATCTTAATACTGTATTTAATTTGAAAAAAAATATAGTTCTAAGAATAACTCAAAACTTATGAGCTTTTAGTAGTCACTGAGGATCCTTGAATTAACATCATTCTCTCCATTTTAAATGCAAAATATGTTGTATTTCCAGAGACAAAGTATGCAATTTCACAAGTAACCTAAAACTTTATCACATGCGCTAATCCAAGCATAACTTGGTAAATAAAACACCYACAACCTTTACCAACTTTTTGTAAAGGTGAATGTTCGATTCCTACTTTGCATTTATTAAACTAAAAAGAAAAAAAAAAGAAAGTTTTATCATATGCTCGTCCCGAGCCTCGAGAAGACATAACAACCGTAACCATTATGAAACTATTGCGAGCTACAACACATTATACAAAAAAGGAGCAATTGTAACAGTCTAACTTAACTACCAACACTACACTAGGATCATCAGCAGTCACAATGTCAGTGTAAAAATTGCTGCCTCATTTGTAGGACTCATATTCCCATTACAAATAAGGTTAAAAACTTTCCCAGAAGACACAGAAGAATTATCCAATGATGATGATCTGGGAAGGGGACAATCATACATTTTTCTTTTCTTACAGAAATAACAACACTAACAGATAAAAGATCTGAAATGAAGAGGGTTTGGATATGGATATAAGAAATGAACCAACCAAAACTCCACCCCAACGAACAGATTAATCTTCATCTGCCAAATGCTCATGAGAGACAAAGTCCATCATGATGCCTGTTAAAACTATGGAACTTTAAGTTCTTGTTATTCATGTTCAGAAATTGCTCAGTCGATACCATCTTACTCGTTGTCGTCGATCCAGTCACCGTATATCCTACTGATTTTATCGGGACCCTTCCACTTCTGATGAGTTCTCTGCCCTGCCCTTTGAATCACAATGGTTGACCTTTGTGATGGAACTGCAACATGATAAACGTCTGAATGAGGAACTGAAGGAACAGAAGCAACCACGGTGTCGCCCGGAGCTTTTGGCAACACTCCCTGTTTTGGGTCAGGAGGAGCAGACGAAGAATCTCTAGCTTCCGTCTCCATAAGCCCACCACCATAACGGTGCAATTCTGTAGTGGTCAATTCAGAGTATCAAAACTAAGCACCACCAAAACTATCTTCCATGTAATCAATGTAGAACTCATTCAACATTCGTTTTGTTCAACAAGACCCAAAACTATTCTCACATTTTCCGGTCTAATCGACTCACTCAACCTATATCAAAGCTCAGATAAGTACTGGTGACTCAAATAAACTAAACATGAAAAATAAAGTGAAAGATTAAAAGCATAGTTAAAAATACATGACAACAAGGGGTTAATTAGAGTAGCCACAGCATTTAGTCACCGAGTTGGTCCCGAACTTAGACACTTTGTCAACATAATGCTCTCTGTGCCAGATTTCTAAGATCCTATACCTTCTCAAAACACTCCCAGGCAAAAGTAAGCCTTTTGTTATTCACTGACAAGCGTATTTGATAAACAATAGCATTATGGTTTCTTTGAAAAATTTCCTCATATTCCCCAAAGTCATATAAGTTTCACATTTTATATGACGAGCAAAATCTTCGGCACAATAGTAGTAGAAGAATTAAACAACAGAATATACAAATGACCCCTTCAGTTAAGAGAGTGAGTTTAGAAAGGCGATTGAGGAGTCCTAGACCCTAAGCAAAGAATGATCTATTCCAGTAACTCTGAAAAATATATCTTTGCAGTGCATTGGTTTCGGAATCTTGAAAGTTGAAAGACAATCCTATATTATTGGACAACACAGAATAATACATGGCAAATACAAACGGAGTGTGAATGGAAGGGATTTAAGATCTAAGGCATTTACGTGTTGCAGAAACAAACTTAAGCTACAAACGGAACCATTTTCCTTTAAATCATAACTGAGGTCAAGCAGATTGAGCAGGGGTATCTTATGGGGCCTGGTAAGAGCACGAGCACATTTTTTTAAAGAAATTAGAAATACTTTACTCTTCATCCAGGCTTGGGCATTAGAGTGCCGAGTGCTGACAGACTAAGTGATTGAAAAGATAATGGAAGCTATACGGACAATCCAAGAAGAGGTGGTTTCATGAAGAAAAGGTCTAAGGGGTGAAATTGATGCAGATTTCATCCAAGACACCAACAATCTTTGAGAGACTAGATAGACATAATCCTTCCTAATCTTTTTTTATAGGAGCACTGACCTTTATAATGACCCATATACAACCATTTTATTAACAGCAGGAAAATATGGAAACTATGAGGAAACGTACCAGCAGCACCATGAGCAAAATGGCATTTGTTTCCAAACGGGCAATATCCTGTCAACTCCCACTTGTTACAAATCCTTGTTTTCCAATTCGAAGGCTTGATGTTGGATCCATTGCCTGAACTGCCGCCGCCGCAGCCGCTGTACCCACCAGGACCCAAGCTTATTGCCACACTCTCTCGATTCTTTGACTGCTCATCGTGAAGAAACGTACAGCTATCCCCATACGGACAGCCTTCCTCAGTGTAAAACTTCTTGCAATGTCGACCTTTATACGACCTCTGCGACTCGGAACCAAAATTTGAAGTCCCGAGTGAAGGAATCTGAAATTCCTCCCTCGGCTCTAACAATACCGCCTTCTCTTCCTCATGGGCGGCCACAATCTCCTGCTACCAAGACTTAATGCAATGAGGAACTTGTGATACTATCCATCCAATTCCAAGGACAAGCGGAATTATAAACAGCAGTATAGACTATAGCAGTATTTAGAATGGTTACACTCTCAGCCAACTAACAAACTGAACTAACCAATCCAACTAGACATTTCAGCAGTCAAGCTAACTATTGAACAGAGGTAATAACTAAAATTAACTATTAACTAGGAACTAATCCTAATACCTGCCAATTCGGTGGCGGCCGCCTGAGCTCCTCAATGCTATGAGCGAAATTGCAATTTGTGATGTAAGGGCAGGTTCCAGCGCGGAATTTGCAGCAGAGTTTGGTCTTGAAGAACATTTTCCCTATCGCTTTTGATCGATTCGAGGACGTAACATCCTGCGAGTTTCTCGATTTCTTGTTCGGGGGTTCGCTTCCGGACCGGCTTTGGGATTGCCTTTGATCATAACTCGAATTCGAAGGCGTATCCCCATCACCGCCATTGTTCCAAGCTCTGTATTCGTCTTCGGTTGCCCAAACTTCGCCGGGCCAATTGTCGGTGCTCGTCCCGGGGATCACATGGACTACGTTTCCCCCACTATAATCCATACCAAATAAGTTCACCCACCACGAAAATCAACAAATTCGTGCTTCCAGAGAACTACAAAATCACCAAATTATCACGCACAAAACCCTAATTGCAAAAACATGGTCAGCAAACCATATAAACGCTAAAGTTTCTCCAGCTCGGAAAACTTTTCAGGACTTTAAAATGGGTTTCTTCAACCTCGAAAGAACACCAGTTCTGTACGAGTTTTGAGCTCAGAAACTACCCATTATAGGATGAAAGAACTTCCTCCAAAAATGAAAATAGCAAGTACAACAGATCGAAGACCGGAACTGAAAGATGAAGTTACTACCAAGATCGCACAGATCTACGACCATCATAAATATTACAAAAGAAAGGAAAAAAAAAAAAAAAGGAAAATTACAAGAACAAACGAGCGGAAAACAAGGCCGGTGGGTTTAAAAATCAAAGGAAAATAGATAAGAGTAGAGGTAGATTTGGACCGCGATAAAAATGATGAGATAACTTGAAAGATGAGGAAGAGCTGGATTTCCAAATCCAGAGCGGAATCAGAGGGATAATTTTGTAAATGAAACTACTTCGCTTGTCTCTCTCTCTGTTTTTTTTTTTCTTTTTTTTTTTCCAGTAAAATTTTGTACCTTCTCCAAATTAATTGAAAAGTAACATTTTCTGTTGTAATCATCAAATTTTGAAAATTATAAATAGATTTAAAAAGACATCATTAAATTGATTCATAATTTACAAAATATTAAGTTATAAATAACATCACTGTATTTTAACTTACATTATTCTATAACAAAAATCACAAACCATTGCACTTTAAAAAGTTTTAAGTTTGGAATACTGATTTAAATTTTCTATATTTATGTGACCCGTAAGAAATTATGTTATCTTTTTAAATAGTGATATAATGAGATATTAAGTATAAAGATTGTTCCTCGTAGAAATGTAAGATGCTTTAATGATTTTACTACATATGTGACCCCGAATATATAGATTAACAATTTCTATATCAAACTATTAGATTAATATATCAAAATGTTGAGAGAAAATCATATTTGATGTTAAATAAAATGGGTTAAGCCTAAATAATTTTATACAGGGGAAGTGTTATTCATGAATTTGTAGAAATTAGATTTATGCAACTTCATGCAACCAATGAGTATCAAACAAACCACAAACCCACTTCACTTTCTAAGAATATCTTTCCTTATATCTGTTTCCCATTGAATGGGCGATCTCTTTTTCGTTTGATCATAAAAAGTTTGTAAGATAATACACAACAAAAATAAAAAAGCACACTTTTTTTCTTTGGAATTTGAGAAATATTTGCTTACCATCTTTAAGTTTCAAAAAGAGCAACAATTGGAACTAACTTAAGAGTTGAGCATTTAGCAATATCAAATAAGGCTTCATTGGTGAAGGCAACAATGTCCTCACGGTCTGAGAACACATTCTACATTATGAAAGACAGTAACATTTTGATCTTGAGAATGTACCAAACGAAGAGTAGATAATGTAAACCAACAGTGGTGGTCCAAAAAGATATGCCCGTTTTTGGAAGTTGCCTCCATGCTGTAGAAAATTGGAGGAGATCGCTTAGTTACCCTCATATTTTGGATCAGCCATCACATAGTGATATGCTATTACCAATACAAATATAAAGATCCCGAGAAAATTTGCAAAGAAGCCGAGATCTTGATCGTCAAACATCTGTAACAAAGAATATCAGCTTCAAATAAAGGTCGGATCAAATATGAATTCAGATTGACRTAGAACAGTGGCAATATCAACAAATAAAATAATAAGCATTCCACTATTACAGAAAAGAAAAACTCATGTAGCCAAAACTAGCAGATTTCTAACCAATTTCACATCTTAAAATTGTGTAGATAGATATTACAACAAGCGCATAAAATAAATTCATAAACACATGGAATGTGCTCTTATCTCTAGGGCACTCAAACAATAACATAATATCAGCAGAAATAATCTCCACCAAGTTTCTTTTCCTCCCCATTCAATTCAGTAATTGGTTCCACCCCCCATTTTAACCTTCTTTTTTTTTTTTTTGATATCCGTGTGTCGGGACCAGCTTGCATGCACCTCGACTATTCACGGGCCAACTGTCTGACCCTACTACATTTAGTTGACAAGGAAACTCGTCGAATATTAAATCCTAGGTAGGTGGCTACATGRTTTGAACCCATTCCTTCTAAGTCTTTTGCTATTTACATTGGCCCCCCATTTTACCCTTCTRCAAACGCTATTATAGGCAATTAAGACTCTAAACCCAGAAGAGCCAGTTCTCAGATTCACTGAAATCTCCAAGTGGCCCGTAAACCAGGTATGTATACAAAATCTTTATAACAAAATCCATGTGTTTTATATATTAAATAATGTCAAACATCTAGTATAGATGAAGTTACTGGCTGTTCTTTACTCCTCTAGAGTTCCTTACCCTTTCACTTCCCTCACTCAGTCTCTTCCACGGCACTCTCCTCTCTGAAGGTATATCTAGGAACTAGACAGCGCAAAGCAAGTATCTACACCACCATTCTAGAGTTAATACTGTGTAGAAATAATGTAAGAACTTAATAATATCAGCATATTATTGACACATTGGTAAATCTTATCTAAAATGCATAAGACAAGCTATGTTATACCTTGTACCTACTATGAAAATGCTAAAAAAATATTCCCGATTCTGCAAAGAAAGAACAACCATAGATTTCATCATGATGCAGATTGCAATAAGCATTCCCTTTTTCAGCAGGAGAAATCAGAGTTCCCATGTCAAAGAATGAAGTAATTTCAAAGAAGAGTACACCAAAATCCAGTCAATCCAGCAACAAGCTCACTTCATGTTATAATTTTACTAAAAAGGACACAATTCATGTTTGGCATACCCAAGATGGAACAGATMTACTTCACGAAGTTTGTGTTCCATCTGATTAGTCGTTCAGAACATCAAGCTCTTTAAAGCAAACCATACTACCAAAGTTGAGAGTCAATGGCATAAACCTTTTTTTTTTCTGAGTTCCACAAGGTGGAATCGAATTATCGACCTTTAAGATGGTAAGAGCGGCCTTATCTACTGTGTTCAAATTGACATCAATRCGATAAACCTAAGTTACCCATTGTGGTTTTCTAACCGCATTTTGCTATGTACATCAAAATGGCATTTTGTGTGCAGAATCAAATTTCTCCAGAAAGTCTCTGAAATTGGAATACCACAAATTGGCTGACTAAAAAGCCAATCAAAATAACCCTTAGACCTTAAATAATCAAAATAAGCAACAATCGAAAATATAAGAATGGTCATATTCCAATCGTAGCTAAACAGTCAGCGGTTATCAGTTAGGAATCATGTCTAAGCAGCTACAGAAAAGGGGAAAATTATTCCAAAAAAAAAAGATGGAAATAATAATTAAAAAAAATTACATCCACAGAAACCCGACAGACACAAGAATTAGGGTTTTGTCTCTGAATTCTGAAGGGAATCACTACGTGAGCTCCATAGATCTGATTGATTTCAGCAAAATTACGCAATAAAAATCCATGGACTCGAGATTGAGGTGTGAGAAAAATGTAAATAAAAATAGAATACGAAACAAGAAGTGAATTACTCTGATTAGTCGTCCAGTTGCCTTCGAAAGAAGATGAAAATTAGTCGCGTCGAGCGGTCAGGTCAGCGACTCTGGGAGGCAGGAGCTACTTCGGGAAGAAGAAAGGGACCAGTAAAAATTAATTAGGGGCTCAAATTAAGCTCTCGGGGCCTTTTTTTAAATATCAAATATTTTGGGGCGCTATTTATAATTCTGAATGACTGTATATCTCAACCAATGTTAAAGTAAAAGGGAAAATTACATTTTTTGTTATAGAGAAATAAATATATTTCTTCCACACAGTTGTCTTATTCCCCGCCGTCACAGATTAAGGATTGAGTAGAATTTCCTCCTTTGAGATTGGCCCATTATTATCTTTAAAATCTATAGTAAAAGTGGCTCCCCAGGAAACTACTGTCATGTCCTAAGATGGAACTACTACGATGGTATTCTGGTGAATTTTCATGCCTTCATTACACCTCTTCTCCCATTCTAATTTGTCGATAACGAAGCCCCTAAGTTTAGGATGGTCAAAAACATCCTCACAATCTTTTGTAGTATGACCTACCTAACTATAATGGTAGCATAAATCTATCAATCGTTACAGGTTTCTTATCTAAAAAAAATATATCAATCGTTCATAGTGTGTTGGTATCTAGTAGTTCTCGTTGGACCATCGAGATTAACTTTTGTTCTCCACTTAGAGGTTTATGGATATTAATTGAGACACGGACCCTCGAAGTACCCGCACCAACAAATTCTATCTCGGAGGAAGTGTCAATCCGTTTATCTTCTCCAAGAGAAGGGAGAAATGAGAAGATATTTTTAACGTTCAAAGTGAACATTGGGAGAGAAAAGAAGCTTACCTATTAGGTAAATATCTAGACATTTTCCAGTTCCAGTAATAGTCGAAGCATCCATGACAATAGTAGGTTTGGTGGTTAACTCGAAATTTTTCCACTCTTTGAAAATATCGTGTGCGGCCATTGAAGGAAGGTCAAAAGAAGACAGATTTTTTAGAAGAGAAAATGTAGAGAAAATATATAGAGACTGAGATGAAAATGTCCAGAGACAGAGGAGAGCTCTCATGTGATACAAAACAGAGAAAAGATCCAGAAGTTTGCAATTTTGTGTAAAGTTTTGACTTCCATGGAATGAGTGGAAGTTATATTGAAGCAAAAATTATAAAAGTCTATGAGCTTCTCTCTTTTTAGTAATTTAATTCTATAGTATTTTTTTTTTACACTTTTTTTTTGACAATTTAGATGTAGATGGAATTGAAAATTTAGGGCTAATTGGATATATACCCATAAATTTAGCGGTAAAAATTGGTTTCCTGATTTAACCAAGACGCTGAACTCTCCATTGTCGCTGCTTCGAGTTATCGTCTTCCACAGTTCTCGCTGCTTGGGATATCTCTCTTCTCGAACCCCGGAAGCCTCTTCTATGATGACCAACGACCGGACACATCCGTCTGGTCTCGTGATATCTTACACCGAAGCGATTCGCTCATTTCTGAACTCGGCGTCCAAAGATTTGCGACTTTCTGAGCAACTCCGGCAGATTTCTTCCGATCTCTCTTCGCAAGATAACGTTCCATATAAGCCGTTAAGAGCTATCTGGGTTGCTTCGGAATCCTCCACCCGGCCGGACTTACTCTGTCTTTTAGCCGGATCGGAGTTCGTCTTTACAAGCCCCAAACCGAGGGAGAAGGTGTGTGTAGTTTAATTTGGATCCTGTACATTTAGTTCTATGGAAACTCTATATCTTAGCGGATTCTGCCTGTTATTGCTTTCTACTTTTTGCCTAAACATCATCTTCTTATCAGTCGGGGTGATGATTTGATGACAACACTGGAGAAAGGAAATCCACATTAGCGAAGGGATTGTTGGAAGTTTTTGGAAATTTCTGGAAATTGGGGTGTATTTAATGTGCAGAAATGGTTATTTTAGAAGACCTCTTAGCTCCAAGTGAGACGGGTGTGGTGAGGGAATGAATGAAATGTTTGTTTTTATTCCGGTGTGTTCTTAAACATTGTTCAAATTGGAGGTATATTAACTACTCCAAGGAACTAGAGATGAATACGGATTAAACTCAGAACAACATTGGATGGCAAGAAATCGTAAAAGATGATAAAATTTTCAGAAAGTTATATAAAATAATTGAGTTTGGCCCAGTTCTATTGACTAGATTGAATTTTCGTATGCTGTAAAGTGAAAACTTCCGGACTTCAGAACTTTTGGTATAATCTAAATTTTATTGTGGAGCTGTTTAACTTATTGATATATGCATACAGAGCGAGGAGTTAAAGGCTAGACTGAAGAAGCTTGAGGATATAGCAGAGAGGAAGGCCTATCAGGAGCTGGTGAAGGATATCGCACCTAGGAAAACAATTGATGAGCCTTTCTCTTCATACAAGGATCAGTTGGGATTCGGTATGGATGTGACCTTGTCATTTCATGCTTCCCGAGATATATCTTTGATGGAACATGTAAATATGGGTGCTTTCCAGCTGAATTATTTAATAGTTCTATGCTGGTTCTGCTGTATATTCATAAATGTATGGTCTTTTTCTCCTAAAGTTTCAAATGGGTAGGAAGTGTTATTCTCTGTGCTAGTCTAGAATTTTCAATCTAGAGTTTCTAACTGATTTTTACCGCTACAGATAATGTCAAAAAGTTCTGTAGGCATTATCTGATTTCATAGTATTCCTTTCCTTTTATGCATGAGAAAAAGTGATTTCTCATCAATGAAAACTCAATTAAGGTATTTGTTGTTAATTTGTTGTATGAGTATTACAAGATTGCCTGACTAGATACTCCTCATGAATGTTTTACATGAACACTTGTAATTCTGAACTTCTTTCTTTAACTTCAAAATCCGCCATATCATATTGTTCTTTCTGATTTTCTGTTGCATTCTGCGCTACAATATTTAACTAGTCATGAGCTTATTGCAGGTTTACATGTTGTGTTGATAATGTTTACTGGATACCTGGTCGGCTATGCTTTGTTCCGAGCATTGTTTAGACGCGATCCAGTCATGGTATTTATTGGATATTTGTTTAACCTGTAAGCATTATCGTTAATGTCTAGTTCTCATAGTACTGTCACTTATTGAGCATTAATTTTGTTTCTCAGAGTGTTGCTGGAGGTATCCTTGGATTGGTTTTTGGCATGCTCGTAGAAACACTTCTTTTCATTATTAGATCGTCCAATTATGATGACCGGTCTTCATCTTCCCATTCCAAGATAAAGAAGAGTCAATAGCGTTACTTCTCTCAAGGTTTGCCTTTATCTCAACATAAATTGAACCATGGCATTCTTGCCTGGATTTGAATATAACCTATTGAGTTAAATTTTGCCCTGTGCTTTTATGCTAAGCATGTAATAGGGCCTTGTGAGCGCGCTTCTTGTAATTTATTTGTATATAGACATGTTTGTCTGGTGAAGAACATTACCGTAAAAGAAGAGCATTGAGAAGTCATTATATTTATCATCAGATGAAATGATTTCTTGCAATCTCTTCATCCTACTACCACAGAAATAAGAACACGATCACAATTCACACCTTCGATTCAACACCCTCCAACTAAATCCTTGAATTTTAACATTCTTTTAGAAAGAATTTAATATAAATATTTTAACGAAGAGCAAGGACTGTACAGAACTGGCACCGTCCCAGCAGGTTCTCCCTCGATTGAGGAGTGTTATTGTACGTTTTTGGGTTATAGAAATGTACAGTTTATCATATTATCTCCTCAAATTTTATGATCTTTTATGGTATATTAGCACGTTCTAGCGATGTGGAATATGTAGGAAAGAAGAGGATACAAACTTGCCTATCCTATGTAAGTGTGAGTCTGCAAAGAAAGTTCGGAGGAAAAACTGCAAATGGTTTGGAAATCTATTAACTATTACTTGACGGTTTAGAGATTTCTCTGTTTTACTTCTCTTACCAGTTACCCAGAAAGAAACTATGGCAGCAACATCAAAGAACTAACAGTGTTTTTCACCACAGGTTGGGCAAATGGAAAAATGGAAACAATATTCTACATTAGATACAAAGAGTATGCAGGTGATTACAACTACAAGCAAAAGAAAAGGTCAGTGATTAAACATTGATAATAGAATGAGGGATCTTGTACCTTATAGTAGAATCAAATTCCCTTAACATTTACAAGATGTTTGGTGGGGCAAGAGATGAGTAGGAAACAGATACAAGTAACTAGCTATGTGGTTCATTCTGTGAATCAAACATGTTTCTTGTTCATAATTAATCGTCCATTCGAGACTTGAAAACTAATTTGGCCGTACCTTATAATCTTTATAGCTAAAGTCATGGCAAAGATTAGTGTTCAAGGAATACAATATAATTATGAAATGGATAAAGTAGCCAATGAATAAAATATCTCACTTCCACTTTACTATTTCATCAATCCATATGAATTCTTAATTCCTGAGATGTAAATTCATGAACCTACCATTATAGTCGTCACTATAGAGTAATTAATTAGTGATGATTAGTTGATGATCTAAGAAAAGAAATCTGCCAGTGCCAAGTTAAGTTTGCTTTAGAAATAGAATAATGCGATGAAGGAGAAAATAAGTAGAGTATGCCAAATGGCAGAACTTGAGAATTCCCATGTGAGAGGCTCACACGTGGGAGTTGATGCGCAAATCCTCCCGTGGGGAGCACATGTTTCCCAATCCCCAGGTTTCAGAAGGTGACCACTTTGCTTTCGTAATCAACCTTCTCTCTCTATGAAAAATTCCAGTACTATACAATGTTACACTCCTTTTTTTACGATATCTTTTCTTTATAAATAATTTTTTTTTAATGCGGATGAATTTTATATATATTTCTTTATTATGTTGATTTTGTCTCCAAATTTAGAAAAAGAAAGTTGGAGTCGTATTTCTATTGAATCTCTACCGCTAACATTATAAACAGCTTGTTCAATTGGTCCACTTTAACGAAAAAGGCTAATCTAAAGTTCAAATAAAAAATCTAAAAATGCAAAATTAAATAAAAATTAAATAAATTATAATTTTGGTTTTGAACTTGATGTATCTAGTAAATTCCAATAGGTTCCTCGACTTTTAACATCATGTTTAATAGATTTTTGAACTTTTAATTTTATGTGTGAGATCCTTGAATTTTAAAAATTATTCATAAATTAGGAATTTATTAAACACAAAATTGAAAAGGTAAAGGAATTTAATGTTAAAGGATCTGTTTTAACACTTTTTAAGTTGTAGGGGTCTTTTGAACGCATTAAAAAAATTTAAATCTATTAAACATTTTTTTAAAGTTTAATGTGCTAATAGCACTTACCGCTTATTAAGCTCTATAGATTATAACATTTCTTGTGAATAGATGAGGTATTTACCCCAGTGTATGCAAAATATGTAAATAGATGAGATATTTACCCCAGTGTAGGCACAATATTTCATCATCTTTGATTAAGATTCAAATTCCCCGGTTTCTTTAGGGAGAGTCCTTTAATGTCAATTCTATGGCTATCTTTAGCTCTAAGGAAATTTGAGTTTTTGAAACTTGAATTAATAGTCCCACATCCATTTTCTTTACGAAATACTGTGTCAAGAAACTATGTGCATGCTTATTCAAGACATTGTTGTATCATTTTTATTGAAATAGTTGATAATATAGGCTAACTTATTCAAGCCCATTAATTTGTATATTGTACTAAAGATTGATAGGAATCACAGATATCGCATACAATACTAAATAATTTTCAAGATGCAAATTATCTAATAGTTGATGTATTTAATACCTGTTTGAAATAAGAATCATACTATTTAATCTTATGTAAATTAGAACAAAAAAGAAGCGATATTTTATTTATTGAAATATAGATGTACTCTCGAAATGTTGATTTATTTATTCATTTATATAGTTGAGAAATTGAATGAAAAAACGTGTAAATTAATCAAAAAATTTGCCCGTACTTCTCTTAAATGGACTGGAGTGCTAAAATCGTCCCACGTTGCAATCTCGCCCCATCACACCCTTCTCGTGACACGTGGAAAAAGAGCCCATTCCCCCAAAAGTAAAATAAATAAATAAAAAATAGACGAAGAGCCGACTCCTCCGGAGTTGCCTATTCGTTAGCCATTCACGTGCACTCGCACACGTCTCTCAATCTCCCACGTTCCCGAGTCAACCCCGTCATCGCATCCAACGGTCGCCACTCGCCTATATATATCCACCCACGACTCCTTCAAACTCCTCAACGAGAACCTCACTTCGGAAACTCTGTTACCATTCACCGACTTTGCAATTTCAGCTATGAAATCTGCTCTCGCCAGAACCGGTTCCGTTCCGGTCATCTCCCCGGCCGGAGCCCCTTCTCCCTCCTTCTCCAATTACAGGCCATTTCACAAGAGCTACGTTTCGTCCCCGAAGATCTCCCTGCATTTTGAGATCAATCACCGCAGGGGAGCGAAATCGAGCGGTATTCGAAGGGCTTCATCGGAGAGTGACATCGCGCGATCGCTGCACCAGATTTCGAATCGATATGATCAACTGGGTGGAGTCGGATCTCGGTCCTTCCCTTCCGGAATTCCCGAGGATGAGTTTTTGAACGAAAGTCGAGACGCTGTTGCGGAGGAGTGGATAATTCAGGAGGACGAGGATGAATTTGACATCTCTAATTATGCCGGTGATTTCTCTGGAGGCGCTATTTCGATGAAGAACGCCGGTTTCTTCGGTTCCGGAATCGGTAGCGGCGGCAATATTGTTACGGATACATTTTCCGGCGGAAGTAGCGACCGCAGTAAGATCGGAGCGTACTACGAAGAGATGTTGAAATTGAACCCTAGCGATTCTCTTTTACTGAGAAACTATGGCAAATTCTTGCACGAGGTAATTGGGAATTAGAAGATTATCATCTGACGAAAGCCTCGTTCGATTTGATGTAGCGACTCTAACACTTTAATTTGTTTGATCGATCATATGAAGGTGGAGAACGATGCGGTACGAGCAGAGGAATTCTATGGCAGAGCAATATTGGCGAGTCCAGGAGACGGAGAATTGTTGTCTCTGTACGGAAAATTGGTATGGGAGACTCAAAGAGACGAACAAAGAGCTAAATCTTACTTCGATCGCGCCGTCTACGCCTCCCCTGACGACTGGTAATTCCCGATATCTCAATCTAGCCCTAATAATTTCAACCATTATCAATTATAGCATTTCCACAATTCTCAATCGATCTGATTTGTCAATTTATCTTGCGTAGTTCGGTGTTGGGATCGTACGCCCATTTCTTATGGGAAGTTGAAGCAGATGAGGAGGAGGAGGAGGAAGAAGAAGAAGCAGCAGCAGCAGAGAAGGCAGAGGTACCCCCGGCGGCTCTCGTAGCGGCATTTTAGTCGATCAAGCTGCCGGCAAACGAAACGATGGTACGAAATCGTCTTCACGATCCACGATTTTACCAAAATAAGAAGAGAACTAACAAAAAGTGGCACGTGATTTCTGCATGTGCATTCGAAAGAGGAGATAAGATTAAGCAAAAGCATGGTCTGTCAGTATTTTATATTAAATTAAGACGTACTTTTTATATTGTTTTTGTTTTCTTATGTAAAAGTGTAAATTAGTTTGTCGATGTTTGCTTCTAACTTATCATTGTAAATCAATTCCTAATGAGTCCGGATAATAAGAAAAAATATGAGAAACTTTAGTCTACTTTTGGTCGAAGTTGCCTACTTTAATCAGAATTAATTCAGATGGACTGATTATTTTAGATTTAAGTATATTTGGATTGAGTCCATTTTATCCTCCAAACATCTATTTGATCAAATATACTTTTTAAAATTCATCATTTTAGTACTTTGATATTTTTATTCTCATTTTTTTAATAGTAAAATTTTTGAAATATTACTTATGAAAGATTGTTGTATATAAAATTTGTACTAAAAATGGTTTTTTTTTTTTTTAAAGAGTATTGATTTAAGTTTTGGAAACATAATAGTCTCGATTGATGTCTGAAGGAATCAGGGCCAAAAATGGACCTTAACTAAGGTATCCGTAAACATAAACATTATTTTTAAATATATAAATATTCATCACTATAAACTTAGCTCACGAATTTCTTTGAAAATCCTCATATTATACGTCGAACATTTGATCTCGAGAATATATGAGTCCCTTAACTTTGATGATGTTACTCTCTCTTTTTTTTTTTTTAACTAGTGAGTAAATTTTTCCATTAAAATTTTCAACCCATGTGTTTGTATCATATATTAATGGCATATACTTTGTTAATCCAAAATTCAAAATGTAAAAGACACTGCTATTAATTGAGTCAGTTTGTTAATATTCCTTTTTTGTTTTTATTTTTAAAAAGAAACAAAACTATGTTTAGTGATTATTTTTTATTTTTTATTAGAAAAAGAAATATAACATATGTTTATTAACTACTTTTTATTTCTTGTTATTTAAAATTTTAAATTAAAAAAATAAAATTTTTATATGAAAAATATTTTTGTTAATTGAATATTCAATTTTTTATATTATATTTATAATGCTTTTATTTATGCTTGAAAACAAGCGGGAAGCAAGAATAGAAACAATAAATTTGATTTTATTGTTTATAAATTAAAAAAAAAACAGAGAGAGATAGAAGTTACAGTTTATGCTATCGTTTGAAAAACAAAAAACATTATCAAACACACGTCCTTAGTACTACAATTTTTTTCTCTCTTAAATAAAAAAAAAAGGATTAATACATACTTGAAGAACCAGTGTGTTTGAAAGAGCCATGAAGCACTTTAAGCCACTTTTAGTCGTCTTTTGTTCAACCACTTCAAGCCAACTTTTTAAAATCTCATCAAAATTTAGAAAAACTGCAAAAAGCATTCTTTCTTTTCTTTTCTTTCTTTCTTCTTTTTGTTTTTTTGTTTAGTACATGCAACCTTAATTTAACTCTTATTTCGTATTTGGTTAAAGATAAGATCATATATCTCCCTCTCCTAATTTAATTTTTAGTATCATTTTGATTCCTATACTTTTTAAAAATTATCATTTTGGTCCTTATTTATAAAATTTAAAAACAAGTTTTACACCTCACGGATCCAAACGAATATTAAAGTTAAAATTACAGGTATCAAAAGCTCAAAACAACTAAAATAGTATTTAATCCTCCTCGGTATTCAAATACAATGGGTTCGAAAATTGGAGCAATTGCAGGGCTGTTTCATCTGAATATTATTGGAAAACAGTACTGTAAACTGGTATGAGCAAAAATGTGCATTGAAATATCCAGAATATACAGTATCCACAAATGAATACCATCTTTCTTCCATTTCATGATTTTCTGGTCAATCAAATACAACAATATCCATTAACAGACTCAACAATTACTGACGATCAAATCGAAATTAACAATCACATCACCTCTAACTCTGACCCCTCTTCTTCTTCTCCCTCTTTTTCTTCTCCAGCCCTCCATCAGACCACACTCTTCCACATATATCCAACAGCAAACAATCACCTTCAATGGCTCCTCACAGGATTACTCTGTGCTGTACAGGGAATATGGGGCTGCCACTTCGGCTCCCACGAAATCGAATATCCAAGCTCAAGAATCTGGCCATGGAATGTGCTATGATTTTCCCTTGCCAACAAAAGTTGGGGTAACTGATACAATTCCAATCAGAAACAGTGTGGCAATTGAGTTGAAGTCGTAAAGATCGCCGACCGACTGCAATTCTCCAAGCGCCAATCCGGCCTGTTGTAGAATTCGGGATGTTAGTGTCGTGTCAGCATTCGTATATAAGCTGGTAAGGAACAATTAATTCAGCATTGGTTCTTCACTCAGCTCAACCATTCTCTGGATTTTTTAATTTTATCGAATTATATAACAAGTTTAAGGTGCCGTTCCCCTTCCCTCCCTCGTGCTGCTTGATCAAACTAGTTATCTCCGACAACGAGTTAGAAACAGTAAAAAGACAAGAAAACTGCAATGGAGAAGTAAGTACCCTGACAGTAACGTATGCAGCTGGAATCAGACCAACAACAGTTCCGAGGAAGAAGATATGGTAAGGCACGTCGACAATTGGAGAAGCAACATTGATGAATGTGTTCGGCAAGGTCGGAGTCAATCTTAGAAAAAGCATGTAGTTCAACAGCCTTTCCCTTCTCCTAGAAACCTGAGAGTGCATGGAAATACAAGCCATTCAAAATCCATAACCTTATAGAATCATCTGCAAAGGAGAGATGGGGATTTGAAACTTACCTGATCTTGAAAGAACTTCACCTTGTCAGGCCACAGAGTAAAGACGAGGGGTTTCCCGATCATCTTCGACAGGAAATAGCAAGAGGAAGCTCCGGCTGTAGCAGTGAACACGACGAGAGCAACTCCCTTGAAGACTCCGAAGAGAGCTCCGGCAAGTAGTGACATGAAAACAGTTCCTGGAATCATGAAGGTCTGCATAAAGATGTAGACGACGCAGTATCCCACCAGGACCTGTGCAGTGTAGTCGCTTGTATATTCCTCAAGGTGATCTCTAAAAGAAATAGGAGAGAACTTTAAACAAAATTCCACAAACTGCTAACAATGATGAATAGACATAAAAATATCTATCAATTATCATCCGAATAAATTAACGATTCAAAGTCGATTGCTCGAGTATTTAGCTCATAAATTATCAAATAATAATCCATACCCAGAAATTATATTCCGATTCCTGGCATCCACAGTCAGTATAAGATAAAAGATAAGAGAAAATTTCAAATTTCACCCCAGTAAAGCAATATTTTCCCAAACCTATGATAAACACCTAAATTAATGCAAAATGTAGTGGTATTTATCATGATAAAACAACATCTAAAAAATCTGCATCATGCTCTCACATAAGCATATCCACCACATTGACTCCTTCTAGATATAGAACAAGAAGGTCTAATTCAGAGGACTCGTAATAAGAATTAAAAGGCAAACTATCCCTCATCTATACAAGAAAGTGCTAGCAACTCCCATTTGCTGAAACCAAAACTTGAAAATCTTAGTACATAGGAATACCATTAATTTTTTTTCAAAGAGTGGGCCAGATCGGAAAAGGGGATCCAAATGAATTCATGGGCAGAGGAGAATGGCCCTAGCTAACGACCAGAACAATCCACAGAAATAACTTGAGGAACTATGGCGAGGGGGGTGGCAAATGGAGGTATTGAAAGCTTCGTAAATTACATAAACCAGACCAATGTGGGGGAAGGGGATGACGATTCATTCCACTCCTACTCGAAGAAGAAGAATTCGATCAAAGCCAATTTCCCAAATTACGGGAAATCCTTCCAATCTAGCGATTATGGTCAAAAGAGATTTCAAAAAACAGCCGGTAAAGTTCTTCCGGGAACCGATGCGAGGAAATTGTGGCGCCGATGTGCGAAAAGAATTAAACCAGAGACCAACATCACAAAAACAATAACATCCCAATTTAAATTTCCACATTCATCATCGAAGTGCAATCTAAATTTTCGCATAACGAGATCAAATTAGATAGAGAAATACCTGAGGATTTGAAGATCTTGAAGGTTACGGGGAAGCTTGAGGAAGCTGTAATCGGAATCGGGCATGGTTAGGTAAACACAGAGAATTCCGAAAAGGAAGCCAATCACCACGGTGCTAACCACACCCACCTCCCAATAGCTCAATGGAAACTTGCCCGCTTTCCCGGCCACATTCATCTCCTCTCTCTTCTCCATTTCTCCCCGATTTCCCGTTCCCTTGAAACTAAATAACCCCTTTTCCCGTCCGGTGTTTTCTCGGGAAACAAACACACCCAGAGGAAAGGAGAGAGAGAGAGAGAGAAGGAAAACAAATTGAATCAATCAATTTCACAACTTCATCACCACCCAATTATCTTCTTTTCTTTAGGGTTACTCCTTCCTCGGAGAGGGAAAGAGAGAGAGAGAGGAGAATATTCGCTGCGTTTGGATTATGATTCAATACGCAATCGCAGAGAGATTGGCATGATTTGGAAGCCTTTATATATGTAAACTCTACGGGGTCAATGATTTTTCAATTAATTAAATAAATAAATAAAAAAAGGATCTTTGAATTTGAATCGAATAAAGGCCTTTGAATTTTGATGGCTGTTCTCTTGTTCCTCCTCCGTCCTATCATTTTCCGTTGGCTCTACTCCACAAATTGTATTTCCATTTTCCACAACACCACCCTTTTTAGGAAAAACAAAAACAAAAAGCTTGAAACCACACATATTGGAATTCAGAAAAAGAAAAAAAAAAGCTCATTTTTAAATTACAAAATCATAATATCTGACATAAATGTTTTGTTTTTAATGTGTTACTAGTCGGTGCTATAATATGGTTCACATACATATATAATATTAATGATTTTTCACACAAGATACTTGCCTCTTTTTAATCTCTTATGTATAATAATGGATGATGTGGGTCATCATTCTAGGGTTGCATAGACCATGTTTACCCACTCATGTGCTTAAATCTCTTTTATCTTTAAGTATATTGTGGATTATGAGTGGATGTAGGTTAAGTTGGTGTGTAATGCAGACACCATCAAGCCTTATACCTTATATTTGATTAAGTTGTGACTATTCCATTTATATTTTGGATGGCTCTTAGTTTCACCTCATTGAGTCCGGACCCATGAGTCTTGTTTGGTATGGTTACGATTTATTTGATAAAATTTTTTTACCTGAGTATCAAAAGTACTAGAATACTTCTAATTTATTTTTAATTAAAATATATCGCCCAAACGGTTTTTTCCTTTTTTTTTAGTTTGGCTTATATGTGCACAATTTTTTTTATCATTCAATCTATCCTAAAAAAATCTTTCAAATGCTAACTAAAATTTTAAAATAAAAGTTAAGTTTAAAAAGTACCTATTTTAATTAAAATTTGTGTAATACTTAAAATGATCGCTTGTTTTTATTTTTGATTTGTTATTTTTAAAATTTTAAATTATACATTGTTAAATACAAATATTCTTTATCTTGTGATATCTTATCAAATAAACTTCTAAAACCATTATTAATTTTTTTATGAAAAATCTGTCATTTAATAGTTATTTTATTTTTAGTGTTATATTGTTAAGAATTAAATTATTAGAACAATATATCCTAATTTTTTGTGGTTATCAACCCTAAGTAGTATGAGAATTTGAACTTCAAACTTCGTAAAACATCTYTTATGTCTTGATCAGTTGAGTTATATTTCTATTGACTTTTAAAATATAAATAATAGTATATTATTTCTAAAACATAAAGAATAAGTGTGATTGTGTTTAAATAAAATATTAACATATGATTAAGTAGATATATAAAAAAATTATGTTGATATTAAAAGAGTATTAAACAAAAGTTTTATAAGAGAGAGATTTATAATTAAATAGAGGAATGGAGTGGGTGAATCTTTGTGCTGTCCCAACTTTCAAATGAAACAAAAGTCGTTTGTACTTTGAAGAGAGAGAGACGACAAAGCCACGTCGGCCACGATAAGCACGTGAGCCAGTGGGTTGCGGCGCCACTATGAAATATCTAAATTACCCTTCCCGAAATCATTCCACTCCATTCCCCTCAACGTCGGTCCTCCCATGTGCGAATTTATTCCCAAGTTCCGAAATGTCTTCTTTGCCCTTTGTCTCTTTCTCCTCTCCTTGTTTTCTTCCGCCGAGATGATGGGTTTAAAATGTCCTTTCAAACCATTTTGGTGTACTAATTTTTTATTAAAATACTTAGTGCCTATTTAGTTAATTCTAAAATTTTGAATTTTTAAAATACATAAAATATTTCTTTGGAATTACAACAAATAAAGAGAGGCCAATTGTTCTCTATCCTTTGTATCTTGCAATACCATGATTTTATTTAGTTAGTGATGAGACATGTAAATTTGATAAATATTAATTGACTTGTCGTGATTTAACATACAAATGGTATGATAAAGTAGACAATTAAATGAAATCTAATACCCATCTATATATATTATATTATAAAAGTTTACTTACTGCCATAAATTATTGTACTTAATAATTTTCAAATAAATAAATAGTGGATAATCGAAGTTTTTTTTTTTTAGTTCAATGAGCGGGTAATATAAATATTTTTATGCACTTGAGTTATGTTTGGATTAGCTAATGAATTGAGTTATATTCAAGTTAGGCGCCTTAAAGGAATTTTTTTTATAGTCAACATGAGCATTATTCAGCAACACCTACTACTTCCCTTGAGGTCGAAGCTTCAAATCCCCCTACTCCCAATTCGTTGAACTCAAAAAAAAAAATAAAAATTCCAATAGGATAAATTGAGGGTTTTTCTTTTTTTTCCTCGAGTTCAACAATGGTGAGGTTGGGGGAAATAAAACATTGACTATTGAGTTGATAATAAGTAATTTTATGCACTTGAGTTATATTTGAATTGACTAATGAATTGAGTTATATTCAGATTAGGTGGACTAAAGAATAAAACTTTATAGTCAACCTGAACATATCTCAGTCGTAATAGATACATGTTTTTTCCCTTAACATTGGAGATTCCAACCATCATATCTTCGATTTGCTGTATTAAAAAAATTTATAATTTTCTATGGTATAAAATAGAGAAATATTTTTAAAATGGTTTCCAAAAGAGTGGACATTTACGTTGTATTTACAAACATTCTTTAGCATATTCCTTTCCTCCAAATTTATTCCCATGCTCCAATTTACATGAAGTATAATCTAATGCGAAGATACCCTTTGAGATGCCAAATAGGGACATGGATTTAAAAAAAAATAAATAGTGGAAATACAATAAAACAAATTATTAGTTCGTTGGCATTTCCACGTGGTCTACATTCGAAAATCTTCTAAGATTTGGGCAGTTTTTCCAATTATTTTGGTACTGTGGACCAATATAATAAAATTGATTCCAATTCAGCAATCATTAATGTTTGGGCATTTTAAAGTATTCAAACGATACCAATAGCAGCATTAATGATGTAATAATGTGCTACTTTTAATTTTTTGTATTAAAAAAAATATATATGAAATGAAGCGTCAATCCTAAGAATT